TATATATATATAAATTTTGAATGCATAAATAGTTTTTCTGTGTCGATGTGTGGGAGAGATGTGGCTCGTGCTGAAGGGACAACACTGTTAGTTTTGGAGGGTGATGGGTATTTGGATGTAATATTTCTCTCCTTGTAAGTTTCTTCTCATACATTTTGTCAAAACATCAATCCTGGACTCCTGAGTGATTAAATTAAATCAGAAGAATTTCTTTCTCAAACCAGCTCACAATACTAATATGGAGGCAGCCATCTTGAGTTTTGACATGGCATCCCAGAACCTTTCTTACGCCTACATGCAACCACACACAAAAATGGAAGTCTGTACCTCGCATGTATTTTTCAAGTTACCATGCTCACAACGTGCACGGATGGACAAACAGACTAAGGGTATTTCTAGTTCTTCCTCTTTGCCCCTCAGCGGGGGACAAAAAACAACCTTCTCTTCATCATGCAGGTGTCCATTTTGTACAATTCTGCAAACTGATGAAGTTATTTAAGCAACTTCTCTCCACTGGCCACCACTGAGGATGACGGTGGAGTGAAAATATTGATCTGAGATGATCTGCACAGGTTTCTAGTAGTCCTCCATGTTTTCTTCTTCTGTCCAGATGGACAATGAGCTGTCCCACAGAAACCGATGACAAAAAAACACAGAACTTACAATGTGTCAGTTTGGACCAGAACTGCAAGGCCACAAATCAGACAAAAAGCCCGTACGGTGGCAAAAATTGTTCCCCGGAAGAAGAAGAAGAAAAGAGAGTCTGTGTGATTTATTTAGCAAACAGAAAACATCAGTCTTGTGTCACACAGGAGGGAGAAACAACATCCTTCTGGCTCGCAGGCTATCGTGTTCGCAGCAGCGTTTCCAGGAGACACCTCCAGGGTTATCTTTTGACATCCAGATATCACATAATCTACTTTGTAACTTGAAAAGAAAAAAAAAAAGTTTTTTTTTTTTTTAATGATTTATTTATTTAAAAAATATTTAAATATGATTTTTTAAAAATCTACAACCTTCTTTAGAAACAAAAATGTTTTAATACAACTTGCAAATGAGCTCCTTGCATTATTGTCACTTTTTAAATTATTTTTTTTAACTTTTCTACATTGTTTATGGGCTGGGGAGTGGTGGTGCAGAGGCTAGAGAAGGCGAGCCTGTGATCAAAATGTTGCTGGTTCGAATCCCTTGGCAGACAACAACAACAAAAGTTGTCTTTCCTCTAAGTGGGAAAGGTGAAGCACCCACTCCAGCCTCATTCGCTCCAGTCTTGAACACTGAGAAGAGGAGGAATTGGAAATACCGTCCGCCTATGTTGTGAGCATGATAACTTGAAAAATAAGCAATGTGCCGACTTCTGTTTTACTGTGTGGCTGCATGTAGGCGTTAGAAAGGTTTATGAAATATATACACATATACATACATAAATATACATACATACATATATATAAATATAAATAAATATATATTTATATATATATATTTTTTTTTTGTTTGTTTGTTTTGTTTTGTTTTATGCTTGAGGTTACTGGTTAAATAAACTTTAAGCAACAGTAACATATTTTTCAGACTATAAGGCGCACCGGATTATAAGGCACATTAAGCAAAACAAAATAGGCAGATACGTCAAACTTTATTCAGCTCATTCACAATAACCACATAAAATCTGTTCGAGGTCAGTAAGCGCAACCATTATTAATACATAAGGCTCACTGTCAATTTTTGAGAAAATTAAAGGATTTTAAGTGTCCGAAAAATACGATAATTATGTAAATCTGGCTTTACGAAACTCCAAATTAAAAATTGAAGTTCCACAGCCTAATATGAGATTAATCTAACAATGTACAGTAAATATCGCCTCCTCCTGCTCCTTCCCAGCAGCTGCTGCCGTCCTCAGGCCCATCAAACTTTCACAGGTCTCTGAAATATTAAAGTGTGCAAAGGTTTGTGCCGGAAGAAAAACAAGGCATGACTAAAGCGCACAGAGGAACGGTGCAATCCTTCCCATTTATCTGGGTCACACCGTTAACCTTCTCTGAGTGGCTCAAAGATACATTTATCTGTTTTCCACAATGCATATTTGCACATTTTGACTTGTTGGTCCCTGCAGGAGAAGGCAGTGTGCACTGCATTCCTTCCCTGCGCTTCATGAAAACGCACACTAATGTGTTGCTGAGCCTGTGAGTGAGAGCGAGTGAGGAATCTGACGAGTGAGTATGAGCGAAAGAGACAAAGAGGGATGGAAGTGCTGCGTCGTGAGTGTGAAACTGAGACTTTTTTTCTTCTTCTTCTTCTTTCACATAAGACAAACCATCTGTGAGGCTGGCCATCATCAGATTTATTTCCCACAGTGTATAACAATATATAGTTTATCATTCATTATTAAACCTGTCCTCAGGAGTTTAGCACTAAAGAGGAACATGTAGGTTAGGATCAAATTAATTAATTTAATACGTGTTGGACTCAGAAGGAGTCTTGACTTCATTATCTGGAACAGTCTGAATGTTTCTGAATCATTCTCAATATTCAGATCCGTTTTTCTTCCGTACGGTTTTCAGCTCTTAACTCGTTCTTCAGTTTCTGTTCTATTTTAACAATTCATAAATCAAAACGTTCAGCTAACTTTTGGTATTTGAGCATTTTTTTTTTCCATTTTGAAGTATTTATCTTTGTCGGACATGTTTTTCTCATTGAAAATGAATGGAGTTCTTTTCACATCCTTCGAACACTTTGAGCAGTTTACAACATTTTACTGATCATTTCAGCTTTTTCTGCTCCTTTCAGCTTCCATCCATCCATCCATTATCTTTACCTGCTTCTTCCTTTCTGGATCACTGGTGCCCACATTCCTGTCTCTTTTCAGATTCTTTCTACAAATTCAGCTTTTCCAGCTCATTTGTAATTTTCTGCCCGTTTTAGCTTTTTTTCAGCTGCTCTTATGCTAATTTCCTCTTTTTGAGTCCCTCTTTAATAATTTCAACTTTTTATGTTCCTTTCAGCTTCTTTCTTCTAAGTTTAGCTTTTTCATCTACTTATTTTTTAGTTTTTTTGGTTAATTTTGGTTTATTTTATTTATTTATTGCTAATTTCTGATTATTATTATTATTATTTTGGTATTGTATTCAGCTTCTCTGCTTATTTCAGCTTATTCTGTTCATTTCTGCTGCATTCAGCTTTTTCTACACATTTCAGCAGGTTTTCCGCTGCTTTCAGCTTCTATTTTCCTGCTTTCTGCTAATGTCATCTGTTCAAATTCCACTCGCATGAACTGCTGAGTGATGAAACCTTTTCAGCCGGTTTCAGCGTTCACAGGAAGTGACGTTTCCTCTGGTTAAATGGTTAATATGCGCCCTGTTTTCTCAGCCTTCTGTTTCAAATGGAGTTTTCTTTAGGAAATTTTCAGAACTCTCCAAGATGGTGTGGTGCTGTGTGCCGCATAAACACGGTACGGTGGGCAGGAGTGGTAATGATGGAGAGGTACGTTTGAGAGCGAAGGCAGAACAAAGCCAGGGGGAGATAGATGACTATAATAGCAGCATCCTCCACACGTTTACACAACCATCCTCACCCAGCTCGTCTCACTGCATAGCAATCGGTGACCGCTTCACAGGCTGGAGGAGGAGGAGGAAGCTGTTTGTCTTCATCGGTCTCGAGCATCTGCAGGGTTTTTGGTGATCGTATAGTTTTACAAAACTGCTTTAATTTGTCTCAGGTTGGTAACTAAAGTCATATTTTCAGGTATCTGAGATGCCTTTTGATTTTAAATGATCTTTGTGTTGCTTTGTGCAACAGTATCATAAATTATTGTGAAAAGACAACAAAATTACAAGATTTCTAGAAGAGAGGAGATTTGAACCCCTTGGACACCAACAGCTGGCACCATATCTGTCCTGTGAGCTCAACCTATCTGGACTGAAAAATATGTGTTTATTTAAAAACAAGGCAGAGTCTGAAACATGAATCCATTGTAGAGCATTTCTGAAATGGTTAATTACATCAGCACTCACCCAGAATAACACGCTGAAGCTCAGCACCAAGAGGAAACATGGTCGAGCGCTCAAAAGTAACACAACTACGTGCCTTAGTGAGATGCAAGATGGTATAAAAGCCCAAAATACCAAGTTTGAGTCCCACCAAAGACACATTTGTTTTTCTTGCCAATATCTGTGTCATGCAAACATCTATTTACCGTCAACCAGGCATCTGCAAAACTTTAAAGTTGACACCAAATTTGGTTCAATTTGAGCCAAAATGTTTACCGGATGTTTTGATGTCAATTAAATGTCTAGCCTTACTGCTTCCTGAGCCCTGTGTCGTAACAGCTCAACTCTCAAATCAGGGAGGCTGTAAAAAAGAAAAAGGAAATTAGCTTATGTTTTTAACTTCAAATGAGCAGCCGAAAGCTAACACAGTTAGCATCAATGAGCTGAGCAGTGATGAGCCCTAGTTGTTGGGCTTTCTGTGAAGCTGTTTTCCAGATGGAGCATTAGTTCACTGCAGATATGTTAAAGCTGTTTCATGTTTGTGCCTCATGTAGCTGCTCTGCAGTGAAACAGAAACAAAGCACATCTTTTAGCTAAACTAAGCAGCTACTGGCCCTGAGACTGTGTGCGTTCTGTAGTGAAATGAACTTGGAGTAGATATATGATGGTAATTTTCTTTAAATAACTTTGGATATAACAATATACCAATGCTTCATCCTTCGAATATTGAGTGAAGTCCAGCAAGGGTATATAAAGTACAAAGGTGCAGGCCAGGACTCTGCGGTCTACACTCATCTCCAGGCCAGCGGTCACTCTTTCAGGGATGAAGATGTTCACATCCTGGACAGAGAGGAAC